CCTTCGGTTGGCGGTTGGCCACCAGAACTCAAACGCTGACCATGGTGATGGTGTGGCCGCCATAACAGCCAATGGTCGCTCTCCGCTCGTATTAATAGACAGTGGCATCGTGAAAATATTCTGGAGGGTGTATTAAAGCCTTGGGCGCACGCAAACATTTTGGCCGCAGGCCTCGGACATTCCAACAGGACTCAGCACCATCACAATCAACAGGCGCGACCCAAAAATGGTTACAAAATGAGGTTCCTCGCTTCATTTCCAGCGCACAATGGCCACCAAAATCTCCGGATGCCAATCCGTTGGACTATTGTTTCTGGAGTATTTTGGAAAGCAAGGTAGGCACTAAAAAATACCCAAGTGTCGATCACCTCATAGGGGGAGGGTAAAAACTAAAAATATTGAAAATATCAAATCAGGGGGGGTTAGGAAAAAATCTTTAATTTTTCTATGCAAATTATAATAATTAAAATTTTTTCTTTATTTTTAAAAAAATAAATTAAAAAATTACAGAAAATAACCAAACATTTCTTTACAACCCTCATATCCCTAAATAAAGAATTTTTGTGTTCACCCATTTAAATAATGCAAATAGTTGTTAGTTTTATTTTACTTACAATTACCCACTACTATTACTCTATTTATTTCCACACTCAAGCTCCGCGGCCGGCCATACCTGAAATGCTCACATCAATGCAAATTAATAAATTTAGCAAAACAATTTATTTCTAGGATCGTCTATAAAGTACTTGGTGTAATACAAATAGAGAAAGCATATGGAAAGAGAGAGAGAGAGCGAATGAGTAAGAGTAATTCCCCACTTTTTACATGAGCTTTATACGTTTTGTTTTTAACGGAAATTTCAATAAAAATCATTTTCGGTTTTTATTTCATCAAATCGCATTTTATTAGAGCCGCGTGTGAGTGTGTGTGTGTTTGGTTGAGTGCAGCACATCACACAATGAGCACATTGTAGTAAAAGTTGTTGGTCAGAGATAATCTCTGAGTGTCAGCTACATATGTACGTACGTCTGGCATATGGATGGTCGCACTCAATCTGATCATAATAGCATTTTAATTTAATTTAATGTGTTTAGCAGTGATGATATCTTCGTTTTCATTTAATCTTCACACCACCACAGCCGCCATCAGCATCATCAGCAGCAGCAACAATAAAACTCACCGGCCGACAGGCTGGGTTGTTGTTCTCTTCTAATTGATGCTCTTGTCATTGTGAGTTGTTTTGCCGCTCATTTCAACGGGGAGCTTACATGTGGCCAGTGGCCAGTGGCCACCGTAACAGAGAGGGAGAGCCAGACATTGATTAACAAATTGGCATAATTTGTATGAAATATTTTAAATGCAAATTCCGGGTAATTTCGTTTTATGTGAAAATTAATTTCTAGTCTTTTCATATGTGCATGGCCTAATATGACACGTTTTTCGTAAAATATGTGTAGATAAAATTATATAATTATAGGGAAAATAATACAGGGTTTACATTAGAGTTTTTTTACCACGAAGATTCCCAATAAAAATTTATTTAATGTTTTTTGAATCTATTGCCGGGATTATTGTTTCCATTTATTTGCTCTGTTCCAGAACTTGCAAGAAATTAAAAAAGTAACCACGATAACCGATTTTTATACCCTTCACCGTACATAGTAATTTAAGACCTAACAAAGTATACAGGGTGATGTGAAAAAAGTGCAACCAACTTCAGACTGCTGTCATTTCTAAGGCGCTAGTCCCTCAGCTTTTTAAATTTTTCGGTATGGAATTCAAGCGTGATTTCTTTATATTTGACTGCAAACCCACAAATGGCTATGGTTAGAGCACTCCAGCATTTAAACGTGAAATAATCCTTTGTGTCTCGTACCATCGCTCGTTACCGTGATACGCGTAGCGTAGCCCGACGTCAAGGAAATGGATGAAAACAGCAACATAAACAGCAGAAATAGTTCGAAAAGTAAGGAAGCGACTTGTGGCCGCGTCGCAGTGGCCGAAAAATGGCTCGTGCGGTGAACATATCGCGATATTCCATTTGGCAATTATTAAAAAATCAACTCGGTGTAAAGTCATTGAAATTTCAAAAAGTGCAAGAACTTACACCGCAACAGAAAGAAAATAGACTCAAAAGAGCTAAAGAGTTGCTTCGCTTGGTCGAAAGTGGTGAACTGTCGAATTTAGTTTTCTCCGTTGAGAAACATTCGTTGTCCAGCAGTTTGTAAACAAACAAAATGATTCGCTCGTGTTTACTTGTCAAAGAGGTCAGCTGAAAATGTGCACAAGAACTCAAGCGCCGGCCATAGTGATGGTGTGGGCCGCCATAACAGCCGATGGTCGCTCTCCGCTCGTATTAATCGACCGTGGCATCAGAATAAATGCCGAATATTATCGCGAAAATATTCTGGAGGGTGTATTAAAGCCTTGGGCACGCAAGCATTTTGGCCGCAGACCTTGGACATTCCAACAAGACTCAACACCATCGCACTCAGCAAGCGCCGGCCTAGAATTGTTTCAAAATGAGGTTCATCGCTTCATTTCCAGCGCACAATGGCCACCAAAATCTCCGTACACCAATCCGTTGGACTATTGTGGCTGGAGTATTTTGGAAAGCAAGGTTGGCACTAAAAAGTATCCAAAGTGTCGATCACTTCAAGTAAGCGCTTCGCCGGGAATGCGCCTAAATACCGCAGAGCAACATTCGAATAGCATGTGACGGTTTCATTGGCCATTTGAAGGTCATAATTCGTGCCAAAGTTGACCAATTCGAACAAATCTAAACTTATTCCAAAAATTGATGCTATTTCCGACATATTTTGCTTTCGTTCAATAAAATTTAAAAAAAATATTCCGACCGTCTGTTGAACTCACGCTAGGGTCAAAACGATTTAAGATAGGAAGCTAAAATTGTGCACAGATCAGTCTTTTGTCTGCAGGCAGGTCAAATTCGAAGATGGGCTATATCGGTCCACGATATCACATAGCACCCATATAATGGTACCCCCCGATATTCAGTATTTTGTGATGATTATAGCCAAATTTTCAATGATATTTTCTGACAATCTAAGCAAGGGGTTTCTTCCGAGTGTTTTACCTCCTAGAATATAATTTTCTATATAGGTCCACAATATCGTATAGCCGTCATATAACGCTACTTCCCGATATTCGGTATTTGGATGATTGTAGCCAAAATGTTTAATGGAATCGCCTGAAAATCTACACAAGTAATTCCTTATGAGAATTTTGCCCCCTGGAAGAGAATTTTCTATATAGGTCCACGATATCGCAGAACCCCCATATTAGGGTACCTCCCGATATTCGGTATTTTGATGATTTGAGCGACAGTATTCACACTATAACGGTTTTCATTTGTGCGGTATTTTTCGAAGGATTTTTTTGAAATTTTTCAATTTCCTTTCAAATGGTGGAGGGAACCAAGCTGCTTTTTCAATTTTTCTTTATAATATCGAAAAATATACGAAAGCGGATACATAAAATCAATAATCCCGATAATGTAAGGCACCCTGTTATTACATTCGTTCTTCTGAAAATATTTGTTCTTTTACTTATTTTTCTTATGGCAAAATGCCTTCAGGGTTAGAAAATCCCCAAAGGGGACGTCACACTCTACGTTTATATTGCAGCCCACGTTACGGTAATGTAAGTAAACTTTACCTAATCCATCGGGTCGCTAGGAAATTTCATAGTATAAGGGAATTTTAGACCCACACATGGATCTGCCTTTAATTTTTTTTGTGTCTCTTTTACTTCTGCTTATAATTTGACATTTCAAAGAGAACCGAAGAATAAACCCCGAAAACCTTTCCACGGTTAGTATTCCCCTTCACGCATGTTTAGAGGAGAATCCGTTAAATCCTAAAAAAAATAAGTGACATACGCATAACCCTCTTTGGTTGCTAATGGTCCAACCAGGTTACAGTCCATAACATATTCCCTGACCTTGCACAAAATGAGATTTCTTTGGAATATCTCTCGAAGTTTATAAATATTTATTCCTGGGAGCTACTGTGTTTTGTGGACTAAACAAAAGACAACAGAAAAATATGAGTAATCACTTAATTTTAATAGCTTTTATGTGTGCCACTACTAGCACCTTGCATTGCTAGGGTAAGGGTACATTTTCGTATAGTTTTTCCAAGGAAAAACAAAAGAAGACGTCATAAAAACCTCCATAAAATACGAGAAAACTTCAAATGCATTTTCATTTGGGCACCTGTGAGTGGCTAACGGCACCTGTGTGCAAACAATTTCCTTTAATTGAGGTAGCTAGAGAATGAGGTTTCTCACAACTATGAGAGAGAGAGAGAGAGAGCTGCCATGCATGCCGTGATTGTGTTGTTGTTCATGGCTCAGAGATTTAAATTTGAACGAAGAGAGTTAGTTTTATGATCTCGTTATGTGTGTGTGCATGCGTGTGTGTGTTTTGTGTGATTTGCTGCTGTGAGCCGGGCTTAACTCACCGACTCTTATGCTCAAGTCTTGAGCAAAACCCACTTCCTCTGTTATTAAAATCGTGAACGTTCAACTGTAAAGACTTGATTTGAAAAGACACGGCGGCAAACGAAACAAACAAATCAACGTCGACGAAAGTCCGACCTGCCTTAAGAAAAAAAAATTATTTATTTTCTTTTTGTTTTTTTTTTCTTTCTTCGTGTTGTCTTTCATAAACCTACTTTCTTCTTTTTGATGAAGTTGTCGGCTGGGGGGTTTTCCGTCTTCTCCAGTTGTTGTGTGTGTTGCAAATGCGAAAGGCGGCGGCAGCAACAAGTGTAAAACGGAACGGTGTTTGATTTGGCTGGATTTGAAAACGGTTTGCAAAAAGACCGGTGGTGGTAAATACGAAAAAAAAGTGACAAATAAAGTGAAACATTTGCTGTTGTGTGGAAAATTATGTCAACATTTTCATGCGAACGATCTAACGATTTTCTTGTGGAAATTGTGTAATACCCAAAAAAATTAGAAAAAATTTGAGTTTTTAAAAAAAAAAAATTACCCAACATTTTTCTGGTATTTTCTATAAATCCGACATTATTTTTTTTTTGGTGAAATTTAAATATTATCCACCTTCACAATAAATTTTGAATTAACATACAAGCGGATTAACATTGGCGGGGCGCTCTTTCAGGGCGATTCACAATAACGCTGGAAACTCTTACAGACAAGCTCAGCTAAGTGAATTTATTTTTGCCAGTTTCTCAACGAGATCAGAAGCCAATGTGAGCGGTTGCGGCCTCCAAAAGAGATAAGCCAATCATCAGTACAAAATTGTACGCTTTAGCGTGCGGTCCACGATTTTAAACCAAAAAAAAAGAAAGAAAAACGAAACTAATATTTAAGTCAAGAAGTAAAAAAAGAAAAACAAAACAAATAACGGTGTTAAGCGTAAAAATAAGAAAATAAAAGAAACGACGTGAGCTTTACGAAAAAGAAATCCATAAAAAATAAAATAAATTTTCGTTAAAAAAAATTAAAAATAAAAAAAACAAAATCATAATGTCTCCTCAAATGGCATGTTGAGTAATAAAAAAATATCAACGAAAACAGATTTCATCATAACTGAGATTGGGAAATACATTTTTGCATAAATCGACAACGGCAACGAGAAACATCATCAAGGCAATTTGTGATTGGTATCATCAGCAGCCACTTGCCGAACTCAGCTCTTCATTTTTTTTTTTTTGCTTTGGTGGGATTAACAAAAACCAACAACAACGGCCTCAAGGTAAGTTGAACACCAACAACAACAAACTGCCCCGCATCTGTAAATGTCTGGCACTTTCTTTTGCACCTGGCCATAATGGGATTTTTCCCAAAAACCATGGCGATCAGATATCATGTTTATTGAATACCTGCCACGACATTGCCAGGTACATAGTTTTTCCCAAGAAGATAAATGGATATGGGGACGGACAAACCGAAATCGGATGTGCAATTTTGTCGTCTTTTTTTTTTCTATGGCTACAAACGTTGCTGGTAAATGTGATAGCTTCAATGGCGGTGATAATGATTTTCTGTTTGGCATGGAATTGTATTTCTTTCCATCATCCCCGTCGTCATCATCGCCATCATTCGCCATCATTATTGTCTAGATTTGTTGGTCGCTGTACACTTTGAGCCAGCGATCGAATAATTTAATTGTTTTTCTTTTTGGTTATATAAAACTACAACTGGTTTTTTTGTGTTTGTCTGTCTGTCTGCCTGTCTTGATCTCTTTGGACCCCAATGAGTTTACAATTTTGTTTTTTATTTTATTTTTCTTAAACTCATTTTACAATAACAAAAGCAATTATGCTTTACAAAGTGTCATATTGTACGTACACAGCTGACTGGCTGCCTGACTGGTAGTGAATGTCTACACACATAGCCACAGTGAAGCCTCAAAACTGAGGATATATCTGGTACATGGAGTTTGCTTCCTTAGGAAATGAAATCAAAACCCCCCAATTAAAGAAATTGGAGGCAAATAGGTAATTAATAGGAGTGGTGATTTCTTATATTGCTCAGAATTGACTTTATTTAAAGTCCGGAGTGAGAGAGAGAATATCACATGACAGGAAAATGGTTTCGTGTGACTTGAGATTTATGGCGCCCAATGTGGGGCATGAATCCAAACCTTTAGAATAGGATTTTTTAGGATGGACTTTATAAAAAGTCCAAAATGAGAGAATATCACATAACAGGGAAATAATTTCGTGTGACTTGATTTTGAGGGAATGTCCCACTTATGGCGCCCAATGTTGGGCATGAGTCCAAACCTTCAGGAGAGGATTTTTTTAGGATTGACTTTATTTAAAGTCCAAAGAAATAATATTACATAACGGGGAAATAATTTTCGGGAGACTTGATTTGGAGAGAATGACTCACTTATGGCGCCCAACGTGGGGCATGAGCCCAAACTTTCAGGAGGGGATTTTTCAGAATTGACTGTATTAAAAGTCCAAAGAGAGAATATCACATAAAAGGGAAATAACTTCGTGTGAATTGATTTTGAGGGAATGTTACACTTATGGCGCCCAACATGGGGCATGAGCCCAAAGTTTCAGATTAAGAGGTATATAGCGACTTGTAGCATAGGATATCGTTATGAGCAAAAGTTGCTAATTTTTTAAGAAAATTTCAGGTAAAATTAATGATAAAGAAATTATTCCAATGTAGGCAATAATATGGGTACTTAAAATGAGGTAATTTTTATATCGTTATGAATTGACTTTATTATAGGTCCAGAGAATGACAGAGTGAGAGAGAAAATCACATACAAGCGAAAAAATGATTCTTCGACTGTGGCAGAGTATACAGGCATAAGAAATAAGTGTCACTTCTTGAGAAGAAGGCATGTAAATCCCATGATTAACAGGTGAACGTAATGTGATCAAAAAAGGTTGATATCCACATCTCTCTGAATTGACTTTTAACAGAGGAGAAGAGGAATTGGTACATCGTAATATTATTATCAAACATAGATCGAGTTCGGAGATGGGCAATATCGGCCCACTCCTTCTGGTATCTCCCCCACAAAAGGTCGAATTTTTCAAAGAAAATATGTGAGTGCGCAGAGAGATAAAAAATTATCCTATAAAGAATGACGCTTCAACTTTGCAAATCCCAATATTTGCATTAGTTCTAGGTTAGGTGTGAAAATAGACAATATCGGTCCACACAATCAAGTACCTCCCCCACAAAGGGTCAACATTTTGAATAATTATAACTCTTATAAAATGAGATGTAAGTGTCTTATTCTCTTCAAATTACATACATCGCAATATTTTTATTAATCCAAGATGGGGTGTGGGTGAAATAAGCATCCGATTCTCTTTAAATCGCAATATTTTTATTAATCCAGGCCCGGTGTGAAGATGGAATATATCGGGATACTCCTTCTGGTAACTCCCCCACAAAGGGTCACAATTTAGAAAAAATTCATAAAACATTTCAATATTTCTGCTAACACAAAACCTGACGTGAAGATGGAATATATCGGTCCACTCCTTCTGGTACCTCCCCCACAAATGATAACATTTTAAATATCCAAAACGCTTATAAATGTGTAGTAAGCATCCGAATCCCTTGAAATTTCACACATCTCAATATTTCTATTAACACAAGATCTGGTGTGAAGATGAGAGGTATCGGCCCACCTCTTTTGATATCTCTCCCACAAAGGATCATAATTTTCAATATATTTATCCTACAATTTGCGAAACGAATCAGTAATTCTTTTAAAACCTGATAACCTGAGATCTAATGAGAATATAGAATTCATCGGCTAACTCCTTCTAATATCGCACCCACAAAAGTCTTAAATTTTGATTAATTATTCGCATAAACTTGGAAGTAAGAAAAAGACCTATGGAGGAGTCCTTTTTACCTTTAAGTTTTTTTTTTAATAATTTTTTGACCCGAAATTTTGTTAAATATGTTAAAAAACCTTAAACAGCTACAGAAACCCATCGCAATAAGTTGTTTTATTCTTCTCTCCACTCAGTTATATCTCTCTATTGCTCAGGGGGTTTTCTCTGTTTTTTTTTTCTCTTAGAATTTTTTCTCCTTTGTCTCTCTTTAAAAGTCTAACAATACGTTTGCAGTTTATAAGATTTAGTAAAGTTAGTTTATTTTAATTGACGATTTCACTCAAATAAATTCAATTTAATTAGATCCTCATAAAGGAGGTTATGCCGATAAAAAACTCTAATGTAAACATACCATCAGAGAAATAAAGTGGCTGGCAACCATTCAAATTTGTTTTATGTAAAATTTGAATTATTTATATATTTTGTCATTGTTATTTTCTGTTTAAATTTTATCTGTCCTCTTCTTGAAACAAATCAATTAGTGAATAAAAAATTAATTAGCCAATATAAAAAACCATTTTTTTCTGAACACCAAAAAAAAACAATAACCCGGTCATAGTTTATGATATGCACTAACTTGTGTGGTGGTCGCACAAACTCAAATGCATTATTATTGTTTGCAACGAAATAAATTAAATAGACAACAATCATAACTTTGTTTAATGTTGCTGCTAATTTGCCATCAAACATTTATTCATGCATTTATACCATACACACACATACATACATATGAATGTATGCCTCTGATTTATTTCAAATTTAAAGTCAAAGTTTTTAATTTTAGCAAAGCGAACTGAAAAGAAAAACTTATATTTTAATTTGTTGCTGTTGTTTCGTTAGTTTGCCGATATTGTTGTACTCTGCGCATACTTTGGCCTCCGATATTTTTATGTAATCATGCTGAATTTAAACAGATAGTTACGACGATGCAATAACTTGAATTGGTTGGTCCGGTTTCTTGGCGATTTTTTTTGCTTCTTCTTTCGAATAGTATGTGTGTGTGTTTTTTTTCTCCGCAAAACTTTACGAAAAAACCCATGCAAATATTAGTGGAGCTTCGAATGAAGTAGATATTTGCGTGTTTCTCTTACGGGCGAGCGAATGATATAAGTTAATAACAAATGTAGACAGCCGAAAGAAAAAAAAAAAAAAAACAAAAAACTCAGCCTGAAAATAAATAACAATAATCATAATTTGAATGTTGTTAGATGGCTGATGGATGGATAGATTGTTTGTTTGGCAGTTTCTGCCCCATAGCCTGGTTTTCTCCACTTGTGTGCGTGTGTGTGTTTTGTGCCAAGTATTTTTTTTTTCTTGTTGTCGTCCACAATTTTTGATATGGAAAATAATTGCATGCCTCATTGCAGAAAATAATGACATCAAATGACCTGTTGCTGGCGGCCTGCCTGCATTTACGTTTAAGAGCTGAAATGTGTATTTTTGAGAGCACATTCTTTGCAGGGGGAGAGGGTAGCTGCTCTTAGGTTGAGAAATAGGCAATAATTGGTGTTATTTATGGCTGAAATGGATTTTTTTCTAAATGTTTTAATAAACAAATGTTAATATTTTTTGGCTGTTTCCTGTCACCTTGTTTGTTAATGATTTCCGGAATTGTTGTGTTTTCATTAGAGGTTTCTTTGTAGGGTTAAAGTTCAAACAATAACATTTTTATTTTTAACAATTAAGTGCTGGGGTTATTAAGCAATGAGGTTATTTGCCTTTATACAAATTCAAAATAATAAACAAAAGCAAAAATTAAAAAATAAGAAAATTTAAAATGAATAAATTTTAGAAAGCCTCAATCAAAAGCAATGTTATTAGGACCTAAATCACAATATTTTTTTTTGAGTTCGGGAATGAATCCACTTAAAATCGTTTCTAACACGAAGCACCCATTTTTTTATTATTTTTTTAAGGAAAATAATTTTTAAGTGAATTTTTTTAAAAAGAAAATAGTGGTTTAACTCCTCGCAAAAATTATTCAAGGCAGGCGCTTTTGGTATAGCTCCAATATAACCTAAGGTACTTGATATTCGATATTTCAAAGGTTCTTTATACCAAATGCCATCCAAATCTACTGTAATTTTATATTTTGAGTTCTAAGTGAGTAGTTTAACTCCTCTCAAAAAATATTCAAGGTAGTCCCGCTTTTTGGTATGATCTCCATATAACCTGAAGTACCTGATTTTCGGTATCCAATTTCAGCTATAATTTTATATTTTAGGTTCTCTGTAGGTAGGTTACAAAAAATATTCCATGTTAGACCACTTTTGGGTATAGCCTCATATAACGGCACCTTCTGATTTTAAGAATTTTAGAGATTTTGGCCTCAATTTCCGACCAAATATTCTGTAATTTTATATTTTGGTTTCTC